TTTTGCAATTAGTAATAAATTTTCCCTGTCACACAATTCATTGTTGTCCTTTCAATAATCTGAGTCAAAAGCAATGTAAAAAAAGAAACATTTCTTTGCAGATTCTTTTTTGCAGAAAGCGTGTTTTTTTTAGAGACTGTTCGAATAAAATTGAGAGAACGTTTTTGCAATCAATGGCAATGTAATATTTTTGAAAACGAATTGTTGAAAAATCATTATTATCATTAGAAAAATTGCTCAAAAGTATACTCTAATGATGTACATTTATGCATATTGCACGAGTAGTGTGCCTAAAAAACTTAAACTTGACATTATATTAATGAAACACAAACATACAAAGTACGCCAAAATTTATCACAGGAAAATGAAAAAGTGTGTGCAGGTACGTGCTTTTATACATTCGGCGAAAACGAAAAAAACATTTCCTTAATGAGTATTTTAACTTATAAAAACGTAAGTCGAAAATTTTGATCTGAAAATGTTTAAGCAGGGGGGGGTCTGCAACCACTAATGTGTCTTTTTTGTCCTTATTTTCTGAATTTTTGAGAGAGGAAAAGGAATGAAAACATTGAAATGAACTAAATTTGTTAAAAACATGAGAAATTAAAATCATGTGAAATAGGATGAATAAAGATAATTACCTAAGAAACTAGCCTTGTTTGAGTTCGACGTACATTAGAAAGTTTCATGTTATGTTAAGAAAAAAAGGGTAAACCATGTTATAATGAACAATAAAAATTGAACAAAAGTTGCTTATAGACAATACTCCGTTTTTGGCTTTATAGTATCTTATCTATGAGCGAAAACTAACATCTGCAGTGCACATTTTTCTTTTAGTTTATAGAGACACTTGAAATAGTTGACCGATTTGAATAACGTCAACTTAAACATATTTTTTCCCGGGGTGTTGTTACAAGGAATAAAATAATTTGGTCTGTTTTTTTTCAATGTAAATAGTATTTCTTGGAATTGTTGAAACAATATTTTTGTTGCATATTTTTTATGACACTAAATGTCTGAAATTATGGCTCTTCATCCCAAAGATAACGAAAAGTCCTCAAAATTTGTGTCCCCGTCCACAGAAAAACACTTTTCTTGTGTTGATATCAAAATTCAAAAAGCCAATATTACTAACACTTTAGGACAAGGCAATTTCTACTTAAGTTATATTTTGTCTAAGCTGCTGTATGAGAAGGATTGAAAATAACTCGCAAGAATTCAAAGGAGAAATTTCATTGATAGCCAAATTTCCTTTTCAATGGTAAGCAAGGAAAACATAAAGAAAACCTAAAATTAAGAGCCTATCACATAATTTAAGAACAATAGCTCTTATGGATTAAACTTCCTTATCAAGACCATACATTTCATTTATCATAGTCATATTTATACGTAATCCAACAGATAATCTAACACAATATTTATCTTATAAAATACTTAAAGCATTAAGAAGCATTTTTGTATGTTTTTTTAAACATTTTCTGTAGTTTAGAGTAGCACAGCCATGCATCATATATACATAGCTACCATTTGGTAATTTGACTAGTCTAAAATTCTTTAAAAAAATTTTACCGTTTCGCAAATCATTTTATCATCTATATTTATCCTTATGATGAAAACAAAAACGAAATGATTGATCACAACCAATGATAAAGTTCTACTAATTGATATTTATGAATGTCTGGAAATGTATTATATCATATTTCCATTAATACGTCAGAGAAAATAGTAGCTACATCAAAAATATTTGAAGAAAACATCATTAAGTATTTTCATTCTAAATACAGATAACAAAAAAATGTTCTTCGACTATCATAGACATTTAAAAATTATAAAATATTTGCAAAGTGTTTTACGTTTTTAGATGGGAATGATAGTAAACTAAACTTGAATGCATGTGTGATAAAATATATTTCATTGCACATTAAAACTAAGATTTAGGATTGAGGGAAATAATCAAGAAAGAGAGGTAGATAATGCAACAAATTGAAATCGGGCAAATCATCATCAAACATCAATACAGAAGTCATTATAAAAAGCAATAAATACATGCAGAACAAATGATACATTTCTCTGCTCTTGTTTCTTCTGTTATAATTATTCAATATTGCAAGAATATTTTTGACAGATGGCAAATGCCTTTTAATTGTCTGAAACAAAACATTTGAAGAAGCAAGAATTTTTTAATAATGCAAAGTAGCATTCCTCTATATAGCTTTTTAGACTTTCCTTACTTTAGCAGTTATGTGAAAATGCTCATAAATTTCATTGAATTCAAAACTTATATAATTATGAGAGTCGAACTTCCTCTATACAACTGACAGATGTTGTATACAGAATATCATGCATTTCATGTAAAATATAAGTCAAAAATTTTGCTCTGAAAATGTTTAGGGGGTCTGTAACCACTAATGTGTCTTTTCTGTCCTTATTTTCTGAATTTTTGAGAGAGGAAAAGGAATGAAAACATTGAAATGAACTAAATTTGTTAAAAACATGAGAAATTAAAATCCTGTGAAATGGGATGTATAAAGATATTTACCTAAGAAACTAGCTTTGTCTGAGTTCGATGTACATTAGAAAGTTTCATGTTATGTTAAGAAAAAAAAGGGTAAACCATGATATAATGAACAATAAAAATTGAGCAAAAGTTGCTTATAGACAATACTCCTTTTTTAGCTTTATAGTATCTTATCAATGAGCGAAAACTAACATCTGCAGTGCACATTTTTCTTTTAGTTTATAGAGACACTTGAAATAGTTGACCAATTTGAATAACGTCATCATAAACATATTTTTCCCGGGTGTTGTTATAAGGAATTAAAATAATTTGGTCTGTTATTTTCAATGTAAATGGTATTTCTAAGAATTGTTGAAACAATATTTTTGTTGCATATTTTTCTGACAATAAATTTCTGCAATTATGCTCTTTATCCCAAAATAATGAAAAATCATCAAAATTTGTGTCCCCGTCCACAGAAAAGTACTTGTCTTGTGTTAATATCAAAATTCAAAAGCCAATATTACTAGCACTTTAGGACAAGACAATTTCTGCTTCAGTTATATTTTGTCTAAGCTGCTGTTTGAGAAGGATTGAAAATAAACTCGTAGAATTCAAAGGAGAAATTTCATTGATAGCCAAATTGCCTCTTCAATGGTAAGCAAAGAAAACATAAAGAAAACCTAAAATTCAGAGCCTATCACATAATGCAAAAAGAATAGCTCTTATGGATTAAACTTCGTTATCAAGAGCATATTTTTCATTTATCATAGTCATGCTTATACGTAATCCAACAGATAATCTAACAAAATCTTTATCTTATAAAATACCTAAAGCATTATGAAACATTTTTGTATGTTTTTTAATCATTTTCTGTAGTTTAGAGTAGCGCAACCATGCATCATATATACATAGCTGCCATCTGGTAATTTGACTAGTCTAAAATTTTTTAAAAATTTTCAACGTTTCGCAAATCATTTCATCATTTTATATTTATCCATACGATGAAAACAAAAATGAATTGATTTATCACAACTAAATATAAAGCTCTACTTATTTATATTTATGAATGTCTGGAAATGTATTATATCATATTTCCAATGATACGCCAGAGAATATAGTAGCTACATCAAAAATATTTAATCAACCATCATTAAGTATTTTTTTCTAAATAGACATAACAAAAAATGTTTTTTAACTATCATAGACATTTAAGAATTTAAATATTTGCAAAGTGTTTGACGTTTTTAGATGAGAATGATAGTAAACTAAAACTTGAAATCATGTGTGATAAAAAATATTTCATTGCACATTAAAACTAAGATTTAGGATTGAGGGAAATGATAAAGAAAGAGAGGTACATAATTCAACAAATTGAAATAGGGCAAATCATTATCAAACATTAATACAGAAGTCATTATAAAAAGCAAGGAATGCATGTAGAACAAATGATACATTTTTCGTCTCTTGTTTCTTTTGCTACGATTATTAAATATTGCAAAACTATTTTTGACAAATGGCAAATGGCTTTTAGTTGTCTGAAACAAAATATTTGAAGAAATAAGAATTTTTTAATACTGCAAAGTTGCATTCTTCTATTTAGCCTTTTAGACATTCTTTACTTTAGCAGTTCTGTCAAAATACTCATAAATTTCATTCAATTCAGAATTTATATAACTATGAGAGTCGAACTTCTCTATACGACTGGCAGATGTTGTAAAGCTGAATATCATGTATTGTTTAACGGCCTCCATTTCTGTAACTAGACGACATGTAGTTACGAAGAGGCCAGCGAGTCTGTTAAACACTGCGCAACAGACTATTTTGCATTTAATTTTGCTGGCTTAGTTATGCAATAGGTCTTTTCCATTCATCTGGTAAACTAAGTTAACATGAGAAAACTTGAAATCAACCCATTTTAAATTTTTTCTAAACCGCTCTTGGTGAATTTCATATATTGTGTGTTTTTCCTTATAGTGGTCATTGAAATATTTTATTTCTTTCTATGCTTTGGTTTCCTAGAAACCTTTCATCTATTTATTCAAAACACGTTCTAGGTGGGTAAACTCTACTTACATGAATTCTTGTAAACTTGAGTCCTTATAATGAACAATTTGTCTAATCTATTGCAACAAAATTATCTGAAAGCAAACGTGAAAATACTTTTTAGAAAGGAAGTTAAAATCTTACATAATTATAGAAATAAATACTTGATTTATACAACCAAAAAAAGTTTAAGAACAAATGATTACATGATTATATTAATGATAAACCTTTCATATATAAAGTAAATGTTTCACTACGAAAGCTTTAAAGAAATTAGTAATCGTCCACCTTCTAATAAATAGAAAATAAAGATGATATCAAGCTCAACAAAAGTGTTTCTTGGGACTCTCATAATCCTGTCTATTAGTGGCCAAATAGTAAATGGTAATGACGACATATCAATCTGCAAGAAAAGCTTAGAGAGATTAAAAGACAACGTGAAAGAATGGATGGAAACTTGCGTTGATAAAAATGGCAATGACGATAACACAACTGCATGCAAGGAAGTAAAACAATACAACAAAGAAATGATGCAAATGCAAACAGAAATGTGTTTCTACAAAGGTATATTCATTGAATTTGACAAATTTTCATAGTTTCTTCTTCATAGCACCAAAAACAATATTCAACAAAGATAGGTAGAAGTTACGCAGCCAATCTAATTTCAGTTATTAGTAATATTTCTATAGTGAAAAATTCTTTCTGAAAATACTTATTCTGGTCTTTCACCAAATATTATGATCGTAAAGTCTATAAAAATTTGCATTTTTTTTAATCCACTCGCATCGTTGTTACTTAAAGTTTTTTATTATTTATTTAGATGTTTATCCAAAGCCATATTTGATTATTATGAGCTTCGATAAAGTATACTCTGTCGATTCTATTACTGGAGATATTCATGTCAGCACTATTAATGGATCCAGTAAGAATAAATTTGACCATGCATCAAAATATAATGACATAGAAATTGACGTAGTCGAGAATGTGCTTTACTACATTGATGACAAAGACATCAAACGGGGAAATTTTGACTTAACTAGAAACGAAGTTTTTGCGAAAGATGTTTCTGTTCATGATATTACAGTTGACTGGATTGGTCGCCGTATCTTTTACATTGACTCCACAAACATTATCTACCAAATTCATTTGAAAAAAAAAATTACAAGTGTTATGAGGCTTCAACCAGGCTTACAATTTTCCAGCATTGCATTTGACACAAAACATGGGTAAGGCGATATTGAAATTTTTTTTATTTACTTGTAAGCGTAATCAATGTCAATCTATTGGAGGGTTTTCTTAAGTAAGGTAAGATTTTTTATTATTAGAGACGGCATTTTAATTTAATAGAAAAGTTGAATTTTTGAAGTCCGTATCATGGCCTGTTATTTTAGAGGTGCAAGAATAAAAAAAATATTGATTTTCGAGGGAAAACAAAACTCGCTTTTACCCAAGGGAGCAAATATTAAGTATTTTTTGTGTATAAAGAAACAAACGTCATATATTTCGACGGCTTTTCAATAAAATCAACGAGATTTGGCCAGCAATATTTTATTGCGTGACTATAAGGCATTTCAAACCAACTGAAAGGATGAGCTCAGCTCGTGTGATTATTCAGCGCACATGCAGTAGAAAATAACATGCAGATCCTGAAATTGCAAAAATCGACAGCGATATTTATGTTGAACAACCAAAAAGCTTTGAGAAATATGTAACAACGGAGGGATCAATGTTTATAATTGATGAAGTCGTTATATAAAATAAAACGGACCGATAGAAACAGCAATAATATATTAAATAATTACTTTACCGATGAAACTTTAGTCAAATACTCACAGAATATTGATTTGACTACAAAAAAGTAGTCCAACTTCACTGTGCAACTTGGTGTTGTACATTTAATAAGATTACTGGCTTCGGTTAGCCACCTAAGAGCGCTTTTCTTTAGCAGAAAATGCAAATTGCTTGACACCTCCATGGTAATCATATGCTTAATAAGATATGCCCTACACAAAAGATTTCAACAGATTGGGAGCATTAATTTTTGCTTTGCTGTGCCCTTTCATAAACTGTGCAACAATCTCAATACGAAATAGCAATAAAGTTTTAAAAAATTCACGAAGGTGGTGAACGTAAGAAACTTCAACCTTTCGTTTTTTATTGAAGATAAAAAAACTGCGCACATTCCCACGTAAATACATCAAAAATATAAAAAAGAATTTTAGTTTTTAAAAAATGTGGCAATTTAGAAAAAAATCAGTATATCAAGTTTATAGTTTTTCAAGCCTTCTTTTAACTTGCATTGAATGGCGGAGTATACTGAAAAGTCAAGAGCTGCAAATTAACTGTATGCACACTACTCTTCAATAAATTCAGTCACACATCCGATCAAAGCAACCTAAGAGCGCTTTTCTTTGTCAAAAAATGCAATTTGTTTGACGCCTACGTGGTAATCATATGCTTAATAAGATATGCCCTACACAAAAGATTTCAACAGATTGGGAGCATTCTTTGTTTTTAGGCTGTTCCCTTTCATTTACTTTAACCCTTTTTGAGGCAGTGTAAGACATGTGCAACAATCTCAATACGAAATGGCAATAAAGTTTTAAAAAATTGACGAAGGTGGTGGGCGTAAAAAACTTCACCTTTTCGTTTTTCACATTTCCACGTAGTCCCATCAAAAATACAAAAAAGGATGTTAGTTTTCAAAAAATGTGGCAATTTAAAAAAAAATCCTTATATCAAGTTTATAGTTTTTCAAGCCTTCTTTTAACTTGCATTGAATGGCGGAGTATATTGAAAAGTCAACAGCTGCAAATTAATTGTATGCACACTACTCTTCAATAAATCCAATCACACATCCGATCAAATCACCGGAATGGAAAATCGTTCCACTACCTTTAGTTCATGCAGTGTTTCTTAGTGTAATTTAAGCAAACGTTAGATCTGTAGTTGCTCAACTGATGATGAATCTGTGGATAATAATCATGTTAGAGATTAAAAAGAAATTGGCTGAAAAGCCTGTGAAGTGAGAACTTTCTGAATATGTTATAAGTAACTTACGAATTTAAAAAAATTTCCTTTTCTAACGATTCCTATGAACTCTCCATTCATAAGGGCCTTGTAATCAATAAATACAAGTCTTCACTCATCGTTCAAGAAAGTTCCATTGCACTTAACCTCTCTTAGCTTAAGTATATTTTACTTCCCAACTTCTTTATCAAATATTCCATTTGACACCGCCTCTTAAGTCGTAATTTAACACCTTTTGTAAATACAATATCTTGTCTTAACATCTCATTATAAATTATAATTTGACTGAATATGTCTTGACTAAGGACGAAACGTCGGTATAAATTCCATTTTAAAACTTTTGGTCTAATTCTATGGCTCTAATTAAAACTTTATGTTGGGCATTAATTTTTATCATATTACAAGAAAAAATTAATTTCCACGAACACAAAACCCAAAAGAACGTTAGTTAATACGAGAAATTTTTTAAAGAGTTCGGGGCAAGTCTTGTGAACGACAAGAAGACATGGACTTTACTGTTACTCAAATGAGTAATATATTTAATAAATGTATAAAGAATGCAAATATGCTGCGATGATAATTAAAACTGCCAGATGCATCAAACATTTTCGATAAAGTAAGGGCCATAGTGTTCAAGCAGTTTTTGCAGTTTGTCTAATCCAGAGATTCTTAAAAACATGAACGTGACATGGCGATAGAATCATCATTTTCAAATGATACCAATAGCGCTAGCTCCAGCGTCAGTTTTTTCTAATTTTTCAGAAAAACAATGAAGAAATTTGACAATTGAAGAGAGAAGGTTAAGATAGTTGTAAAAAATCGCTTGTCCAAACAAACTGAAAAAAAGTATCAACAAAAGACAATGTTTGTGAAGCTATAGCTCTTTTAAAGACATTTGTAGACGATGATCCATCCAAGGAGCTGCTACTTTTCATGCAAGATGAAACTAAAAAATTAAGAAAGCTTAAGCCTGAAATGACAAAGCTTTCTTAAATTTATATCTACATTAAATGGTGCATATCATTCACCAACACCAAATTTTCAATTGCAACAAAATTTCCACGCATCAGGTAATTTTTAGCATTATCAATTACCAACACAATTCATTCAGCAGCCAATCCAAACTACAGCATTACTCATTCCGACAATAATCTCAAACAATACCAATCATTATAGAAGTTATGTGAATAAAAATAACATATTACATTTATTATGCTCTGAATCACATGCAATGTTTAATTACTTCATATATTTTAGTTCGGTTTTCAAACGAGGGATTTCAAATATTAAAGATGATCTTTTCCTGTTAGCTACAATAGCTTTATGTTGCTGTATTATCAAATTTCATAAATATGTTCCATTAAACCGTCTATATATGAAAGTAGCTCTGAATACTTTGACAAAATCTTTGTCTAAATTAAAAAAATCTATCTTTCCTTTTATGTATATATTAGCCTGTATATTGTTTATGTATTTCAGTACGTATAGAAAAAACTAATGTACAAAACAAATATTTTTATTAAGGTATCTATTCTTGGCAGAAAGTACAGAACGTTTCTTATGGTTATGGAACAAGACTGAAAATAAACATCATATTCTTTCAGTTTCACTTCAATCAATAGCACATGATCTAACGCTTGACATGGCTAAAGAGAAGATTTATTGGCGAGTTTCAAACGGAAATGTTTTTTCTTGTGATTACTACTCCCATGATGTAATTGATTTTGGAACTTCAGGAGGTCCCATGGCAGTATTTGGGGATTTTATTTATATCATAACTAGTGTCGGACGAAGTGTCGTTAGTGTCCATAACACAACAGATCAACGTACGAGGCGTAAATATTTTCTTCCTGTAAACAACGGTTATCTTGATTTGGCTGTAGCTATACACAGTATCACTCCTGACTCAAACGGTAGTTAAATATTTACTTATTTGACATAACAAGCTAAGACTTGCAAAAACTCTCACGCTAATGTACTTAAAATTGAAAGACATTAAAAAGTTTAAAGTTACAATGCCTTATTAAACGGTTGTTCTTCGTTCCAAAATTATAGAAAATTTGATAAACATTAAGTTCAAAGTGAAAAGTGTCTATTCTGGATGTTTTTGCCGTTTGTCTATTCTTGCCAAATTTGTTGGGTGTTAAATTTATATCTTTATTGTTTCTTACATCATTTCAACAATCACTCTGGCTTGTAATCAATTTTAAATAAGAAAAAAATTCATGAAAATAGAATGAAAGACAAAAACGTCTAATTTGAGCATATGAATGTTTTGTGCAGTGCGGTGTTTGAAATTAAATGAGATATGATCTTCGCACTTTGCTGGACAATTTAAGCAATCGTCTCAGGAGAGACGATTGAGTCACCAATCCCGTTGAGTCACCTGATTTTTTCAGGTCCTGAGACGATTGCTTAAATTGTCCAGCAAAGTGCGAAGATCATATCTCATTTAATTTGAGCATGTTGTGCAGTGAGCTTAATATTTATCAAATCTTCTAAATATTTAGTACATTGCAAAACAGAGTTCAAACTTATAAATCTTTGCATTAAACTAGATTTGAAAATTTTCATTTTCTTTCTGCATGCAGTTCAAAGTGAGGCAATTACGAAGTACTCTCATGGTTTTCGAGATTAAATCTTAATTCATTTTACTTTTAAATAATCAAGACAAGGCAATGCCAAAATACATGAGCTTTGGCACATTTTGTTAGAAATATTGATGAATTGACAATTTCCTGAACAATTTTTAATTATCTAACTTCTTTAGATACATCCTTTATAGTATCCCGAACAGCCAGCAAATCTGTTCATACTCTGTAAATTTTCAACATTTATTTAATTGTTTTGTTTTTACGATATTCGTGAACACCAAAGATACATCACAAATCCCTAGCTGGGTACGTCATAGTGGATACTGAATGACAAATATTGTGTTCTTTAAGAAAGAACATGCTTTCTTTTGAAATCCATTGTTGATTTTATTTTTAATTTTATTATTCTATATAGCGACAAACACTTTTCGACTTCCTTTATGTGGACCCAACACTTACTATCGTAAAATTAATGGATCATTATACTGCACGTGTATGAAAGGATACTCAGGAGAATGTAACTCGTGCCAGGGTATGGATTTATAACTAAACAAACACAACTTGTTCCACAAGGACATAATTAAACATAACCTATTATATCTATGCCAATAAAAAGATTAAGTAATGCCAGAGAAAAAGGACCGCCTATTGACCAAATTTTCCGTGGAGGAATGTGATAATCCTTATATTATTTGTTTTGTTACGATTTTTACATTAATTATGGCTTTTTAAAGCTGAAGGCTTTAGCTTATGTAGCTCCATTAGAATTTTTTTGCATATTAAAAAGGAGCATCTCCAAATTAACACTGCAGTGTAATTTTATGTATTTTAATTTTATGTATATTACAAAAAGTAATGAGGACTGATCTAAATAAAAAATTATTTAGACTCATGAAAGTCAAATAGTGTCTACATGTCTAAATCGTTTTGATATTGTATTCATGTAAAATTTTTTATCAATTTTTTGTTACTAATTTAATTCATTAATTTCGCCTTAGAAGATTTTACAATGGCATCTAACATATTAGGATACTTTATAAGTATACATGTAACTTAAAATATTTCAAAGTTGATATTCTATATTTTGCAATATCTCCTTATTTTCTCTTTTTATCAGTTATTAACCCTGTAAGACTTCGGGGACCAGAAAGTTCTATTGGCAAAGGTCGTGTAGAAGTATTTTACAATGGAGAATGGGGAACAATTTGTGATGATGGCTGGGATATAAACGATGCTAAAGTTGTGTGTCGACAACTTGGTTATGACAATGCTGTCAGGGCTTTACTAGGAGGTAATATTCCTTATGGCAGTGGAAGAATATGGTTGGATGATGTTTCTTGTGTAGGAAATGAAAATATTATTTCGAGTTGTTCACATAGAGGATGGGGAAACCATGATTGTGATAAATCTGAAGATGCTGGTGTACAATGTTCAGGTTTGTATGTACATTATTTACCTTTTTTTAGAAAGATAATAAACTAAATTATTTGGGGGATCCTCAATGATGAATTTAAACATTTAATATGATTTTATAATACTGAAATAGATATTGACAAATGCCTTAAGTATAAACACAGCTTCGGACGTAAATTAACCAAATAAACACAACTCGTTCCACGAGTACATTATTAAACTTAACCTATTTTATGATTGCCCAGAGAAAGATTCGACATTACCAGAGAAAATGGGCAGTCCATTGGCCAACTTTTCCTTGGAGGAATATGAAACTCCTTAAATTATCAGTTTTGTTACGATTGTTTAAATTCATTGGTCACCTTTGGTCATTTCTCCGCTTTGTCCTGCTCGGGGAGCGGGTCTTTGCCGGAGACCCAGTTCTAAGAGACTTTTCCAGGCTGCTCTGTCTTGGGTATCCTCTTCTTTGACACCACATAGCTGCATGTCTCTCCTGATGGTGTCCTTCCATCATTGCTTTGGGCGTCCTCGTTTCCGTCTCCCCTCCACTTGCATCTCATAAACTCTCCAAATGTCTACATCTTCTTCACGCCGGCACACATGTCCGAAACACTGCCGTCTTTTTCTTCTCATCAATTTCAGTATACTCATGACATTCGCTTCTTCTCTTATGCTTTCATTTGTTCTGTGCTCCTCCAGGCTGACTCCAAGACAATAGCGTATCATTCTCATCTAGCATACACTGATCTTCTCTGCTAGGTAGTCTGTAACAGGCCAAGTTTCATTCCTATACAGAAGCACTGGGCGTATCACCGTTGATTGTCTACATTCATTATAGCTATTTAAAGCTGTATGCTGTAGCTTATGATGCTCCATTAAAATTTTTTTACACATTGATAAGGAGCATCTCCAAATTTACACTGCAGTGTAATTTTTTGTCATGTAATGGCGTGCTGTTTACCTTAAGAATTCATTTTTAAATTCGTTTTTAACTGACCGTTAAGATTTAGCTAAAGCCATACCTAGAGAGCACCAGAATCATATTTCTCAATAATTAAAAAAGACAGTTATTTTAAAAATGTGATAAAGATTCCCACGTTTTAAACGAAGAGTATGAGTGAACTATTTACTCTTCATTTTTTGCATGTATCAACAAGTTATGGGGTACTTTTGCCATATTGCAATAAAATGAAATGATTGTATGGGAAACAATGGGGAAAGTTCGCAAGTTAACGGGTTAAGAACTTATTTATATTACATAATGATATAAGGACTGGTCTAAATAAAAAATTTTTTCGACTCATGAAAGTCAAATATTGTGTCTGATGGTCCAAAACGTTTTGATATTGTAGTTATGTAAACTCTTTTATCAAATTTTTGTTACTAATTTAAATGATTAATTTCGCACAAAAATATATTACAATGGCACCCAACATAACAGGATACTTTATATATAAACATGTAACTTAGAATATTTTAGAGTGAAGGCTTCCATGTTTTGCAATATCTCCTTATTTTCTTTTTTTATCAGTCATTAACCCTGTTAGACTTCGGGGACCAGAAAGTTCTATTGGCAGAGGTCGTGTGGATGTATTTTACAATGGAGAATGGGGAACAATTTGTGATGATGGCTGGGATTTAAACGATGCCAAAGTTGTTTGTCGACAACTTGGTTATGACTATGCTGTCAGGGCTTTACTAGGAGGTAATGTTCCACATGGCAGTGGAAGAATATGGTTAGACGACGTTCAATGTGTAGGAAATGAAAATAATATTTCGAGTTGTTCACATAGAGGATGGGGATCACATAATTGTACACATGATGAAGATGCTGGTATACAATGTTCAGGTTTGTTCCTACATTATTTACATTTATTTACAATGATAATAAACTGAATTATTTGAAGGATCCTCAATGATTAATCGAAACATTTAATATGATTTTCAAATACTGAAACAAGATTGACAAATTGCTTAAGTATAAACACAGCTTCGGACGTAAATTAACCATATAAACACAACTCGTTCCACGAGGACATAATTAAACATAACCTATTTTATGATTGCCCATAGAAACATTCGATAATACTCGAGAAAAAGGGCAGCACATTGACCAAATGTTCCGTGGAGGAATGCAATAATCCTTAAATTATCAGTTTTTTTACGATTGTTTACATTCATTATAGCTTTTTAAAGCTGTAGGCTGTAGCTTATAAAGCTCCATAAAAATTTTTTTTGCATATTTAACAGAAGCATCTCCAAATTAGCATTGAGTGTAATTTTATGTCTTTTAATGTCGTGCTGTCTATCTTATTAATTCATTTTTATTTTTTTTAACTGACCGTTAATGTTCAGCTAAAGCCATGCCTAGAGAGCACCAGAAACGTATTTCTGAATAATTAAAAAGACAGTTATTTTTAAAATACGATATAGTTTTCCACGTTGTAAGCGAAGAGTCTATGTGAACAATTTACTTTTTAGTTTTTTGCTTGTTTCAACAAGTAATGGGGCAGTGTTGCATATGGCAATAAAATCAAATGATTGAATGGAAAACTAATGGGAACATTCGCAAGTTAAAGTGTTAATAAGATATTTATATTACAAAAAGAAATGAGGACTGATCTAAATAAAAAAATATTTAGACTCATGAAAGTCAAATAGTGTCTACTTGTCCAAAACGTTCTGATATTGTACTCATGTAAGTTTTTTTATCAATTTTGTGTTATTAATTTAATTCATTAATCTCGCCTAAGAAGATTTTACAATGGCATCTAACATATTAGGATACTTTATATGTATACATGTAACTTAGAATATTTCGGAGTTGAGACTTCTATATTTTGCTTTATCTCTTGATTTTCTTTTTTTATCAGTTAGCAACTCTGTTAGACTTCGGGGACCAGAAAGTTCTATTGGCAAAGGTCGTGTAGAAGTATTTTACAATGGAGAATGGGGAACAATTTGTGATGATGGCTGGGATATAAACGATGCTAAAGTTGTGTGTCGACAACTTGGTTATGACTATTATTTCAGGGCTTTACTAGGAGGTAATATTCCTTATGGCGGTAGAAGAATATGGTTGGATGATGTTTCTTGTGTAGGAAATGAAAGTAATATTACGAGTTGTTCACATAGAGGATGGGGAACCCATTATTGTGATAAATCTGAAGATGCTGGTGTACAATGTTCAGGTTTGTATGTACATTTTTTACCTTTTTTTAGAAAGATAATAAACTGAATTATTTGGGGGATCCTCAATGATGAATTTAAACATTTAATATGATTTTATAATACTGAAATAGATATTGACAAATGCCTTAAGTATAAACACAGCTTCGGACGTAAATTAACCAAATAAACACAACTCGTTCCACGAGTACATAATTAAACATAACCAATTTTATGATTGCCCAGAGAAAGATTCGACATTACCAGAGAAAATGGGCAGTCCATTGGCCAACTTTTCCTTGGAGGAATATGAAACTCCTTAAATTATCAGTTTTGTTACGATTGTTTAAATTCATTGGTCACTTTGGTCATTTCTCCGCTTTGTCCTGCTAGGTCTTTGGAGACCCAGTTCTAAGAGACTTTTCCAGGCTGCTCTGTCTTGGGTATCCTCTTCTTGACACCACATAGCTGCATGTCTCTCCTGATGGTGTCCTTCCATCATTGCTTTGGGCGTCCTTTTCCACTTGCATCTCATAAACTCCAAATGTCTACATCTTCTTCGCCGGCACACATGTCCGAACCACTGCAGTCTTTTTCTTCTCATCAATTTCAGTATACTCATGACATTCGCTTCTTCTCTTATGCTTTCATTTGTTCTGTGCTCCTCCAGGCTGACTCCAAGACAATAGCGTATCATTCTCATCTAGCATACACTGATCTTCTCTGCTAGGTAGTCTGTAACAGGCCAAGTTTCATTCCTATACAGAAGCACTGGTCGTATAACCGTTGATTGTCTACATTCATTATAGCTATTTAAAGCTGTATGCTGTAGCTTTTGATGCTCCATTAAAATTTTTTTTACACATTGATAGGAGCATCTCCAAATTTACACTGCAGTGTAATTTTATGTCATATAATGTCATGCTGTTTACCTTAAGAATTCATTTTTAAATTCGTTTTTAACTGACCGTTAAGATTTAGCTAAAGCCATACCTAGAGAGCACCAGAATCATATTTCTCAATAATTAAAAAAGACAGTTATTTTAAAAATGTGATAAAGATTCCCACGTTTTAAACGAAGAGTATGAGTGAACTATTTACTCTTCATTTTTTGCCTGTATCACCAAGTTATGGGGTAGCTTTGCCATATTGCAATAAAATGAAATGATTGAATGGAATAACAATGGGGAAAGTTCACAAGTTAACGGGTTAAGAACTTATTTATATTACATAAAGAAATGAGGACTGGTCTAAATAAAAACTTTTTTCGACTCATGAAAGTCAAATAGTGTCTACTTGTCTAAAACGTTTTGATATTGTACTAATGTAAGTTTTTTTATCAAATTTTTGTTACTAATTTAAATGATTAATTTCGCACAGGAATATTTTACAATGGCACCCAACATAACAGGATACTTTATATATAAACATGTAACTTAGAATATTTTGGAGTGAAGACTTCTATGTTTTGCAATATCTCTTTATTTTCTTTTTTTATCAGTTATCAACTCTATTAGACTTCGGGGACCAGAAAGTTCTATTGGCAGAGGTCGTGTGGATGTATTTTACAATGGAGAATGGGGAACAATTTGTGATGATGGCTGGGATTTAAACGATGCTAAAGTTGTTTGTCGACAACTTGGTTATGACTATGCTGTCAGGGCTTTACTAGGAGATAATGTTCTACATGGCAGTGGAAGAATATGGTTAGACGAAGTTCGTTGTGTAGGAAATGAAAATAATATTTCGAGTTGTTCACATAGTGGATGGGGATCACATAATTGTACACATGATGAAGATGCTGGTATACAATGTTCAGGTTTGTTCCTACATTATTTACATTTATTTACAATGATAATAAACTGAATTATTTGAAGGATCCTCAATGATTAATCGAAACATTTAATATGATTTTCAAATACTGAAACAAGATTGACAAATTGCTTAAGTATAAACACAGCTTCGGACGTAAATTAACCATATAAACACAACTCGTTCCACGAGGACATAATTAAACATAACCTATTTTATGATTGCCCATAGAAAGATTCGATAATACTCGAGAAAAAGGGCAGAACATTGACCAATTTTCCGTGGAGGAATGCAATAATCCTTAAATTATCAGTTTTTTTACGATTGTTTACATTCATTATAGCTTTTTAAAGCTGTAGGCTGTAGCTTATAAAGGTCCATTAAAATTTTTTTTGCATATTTAACAGAAGCATCTCCAAATTAACACTGAGTGTAATTTTATGTCTTTTAATGTCGTGCTGTCTATCTTAAGAATTTATTTTTGATTTGTTTTTAACTGACCGTTAAGGTTCAGCTAAAGCCCTGCCTAGAGAGCACCAGAAACGTATTTCTGAACAACTAAAAAGACAGTTATTTTAAAAATACGATATAGTTTTCCACGTTATAAGCGAAGAGTCTATGTGAACAATTTACTTTTTATTTTTTTGCTTGTTTCAACAAGTTATGGGGCAGTGTTGCCATATGGCAATAAAATCAAATGATTGAATGGAAAACTAATGGGAACATTTGCAAGTTAAAGTGTTAATAAGTTATTTATATTACAGAAAGAAATGAGGACTGATCTAAATAAAAAATAATTTAGACTGATGAAAGTCAAATAGTGTGTACTTGTCTATAACGTTTTGATATTGTACTCATGTAAGTTTTTATCAATTTTTGTTACTAATTTAATTCATTAATTTCGCCTAAGAAGATTTTACAATGGCATCTAACATATTAGGATACTTTATATGTATACATGTAACTTAGAATATTTCGGAGTTGAGACTTCTATGTTTTGCATTATCTCTTGATTTTCTTTTTTTATCAGTTATCAACTCTGTTAGACTTCGGGGACCAGAAAGTTCTATTGGCAAAGGTCGTGTAGAAGTATTTTACAATGGAGAATGGGGAACAATTTGTGATCGTGGCTGGAATATAAACGATGCTAAAGTTGTGTGTCGACAACTTGGTTATGACTATTATTTCAGGGCTTTACTAGGAGGTAATGTTCCTTATGGCAGTGGAAGGATATGGTTAGACGGCGTTCGTTGTGTAGGAAATGAAAGTAATATTACGAGTTGTTCACATAGAGAATGGGGATTGCATTATTGTACGCATTATGAAGATGCTGGTGTACAATGTTCAGGTTTGTTTCTACATTATTTATATTTTCATACAAAGATGATAAACTGAATTATTTGGGGATCTTCAATGATTAATTGAAACATTTAATATGATTTTATAATACTGAAATAGATATTGACAAATGCCTTAAGTATAAACAAAGCTTCGGACGTAAATTAACCAAATAAACACAACTCGTTCCACGAGTACATAATTAAACATAAACAATTTTATGATTGCCCAGAGAAAGATTCGACAATACCAGAGAAAATGGGCAGTCCATTGGCCAACTTTTCCTTGGAGGAATATGATAATCCTTAAATTATCAGTTTTGTTACGATTGTTTACATTCATTATAGCTATTTAAAGCTGTATGCTGTAGCTTATGATGCTCCATTAAAATTTTTGCACATTAATAAGGAGCATCTCCAAATTTACACTGCAGTGTAATTTTATGTCTTGTAATGGCGTGCTGTCTATCTTAAGAATTCATTTTAAATTCGTTTTAACTGACCGTTAAGATTTAGCTAAAGCCATACCTAGAGAGCACCAGAAACATATTTCAATAATTAAAAGACAGTTATTTTAAAAATGCGATAAAGATTCCACGTTTTAAACGAAGAGTATGAGTGAACTATTTACTCTTTATTTTTGCCTGTATCAACAAGTTATGGGTAGTTTTGCCATATTGCAATAAAATGAAATGATTGAATGGAAACCAATGGGAAAGTTCGCAAGTTAACGGGTTAAGAACTTATTTATATTACATAAAGAAATGAGGACTGGTCTAAATAAAAATTTTTCGACTCATGAAAGTCAAATAGTGTCTATTGTCCAAAACGTTTTGATATTGTACTTATGTAAGTTTTTATCAAATTTTTGTTACTAATTTAAATGATTAATTTCGCACAAGAATATTTTACAATGGCACCCAACATAACAGGATACTTTATATATAAACATGTAACTTAGAATATTTTGGAGTGAAGACTTCTATGTTTTGCAATATCTCTTTATTTTCTTTTTTTATCAGTTATCAACTCTGTTAGACTTCGGGGACCAGAAAGTTCTATTGGCAGAGGTCGTGTGGATGTATTTTACAATGGAGAATGGGGAACAATTTGTGATGATGGCTGGGATTTAAACGATGCTAAAGTTGTTTGTCGACAACTTGGTTATGACTATGCTGGCAGGGCTTTACTAGGAGGTAATGTTCCACATGGCAGTGGAAGAATATGGTTAGACGAAGTTCGTTGTGTAGGAAATGAAAATAATATTTCGAGTTGTTCACATAGTGGATGGGGATCACATAATTGTACACATGATGAAGATGCTGGTATACAATGTTCAGGTTTGTTTCTACATTATTTACATTTATTTACAAAGATAATAAACTGAATTATTTGAAGGATCCTCAATGATTAATCGAAACATTTAATATGATTTTCAAATACTGAAACAATATTGACAAATTCCTTAAGTATAAACACGTCTTCGGACGTAAAGTAACCATATAAACACAACTCGTTCCACGAGGACATAATTAAACATAACCTATTTTAAGATTGCCCATAGAAAGATTCGATAATAATCGAGAAAAAGGGCAGTCCATTGACCAAAGTTTCCTTGGAGGAATATGATAATCCTTAAATTAACAGTTTTGTTACGATTGTTTACATTCATTATACCTATTTAAAGCTGTATGCTGTGGTTTATAAAGGCCCATTAAAATTTTTTTTGCATATTTAACAGAAGCATCTCGAAATTAACACTGCACTGTAATTTTATGTCTTGTAATGGCGTGCTGTCTATCTTAAGAATTCATTTTTAAATTCGTTTTTAACTGACCGTTAAGATTTAGCTAAAGCCATACCTAGAAAGCACCAGAAACATATTTCTCAATAATTAAAAAGACAGTTATTTTAAAAATGCGATAAAGATTCCAAAGTTTTAAACAAACAGTTTGAGTGAACTATTTACTCTTTATTTTTTGCCTGTATCAACAAGTTATGGGGTAGTTTTGCCATATTGCAATGAAATGAAATGATTGAATGTGAAACCAATGGGAAAAGTTTGCAAGTTAACGGGTTAAGAACTTATTTATATTACATAAAGAAATGAGGATTGGTCTAAATAAAAATTTTTTTCGACTCATGAAAGTGAAATAGTGTGTCTGTTCGCTCAAAACGTTTTGATATTGTACTTATGTAAGTTTTTTTATCAATTTTTTGTTACTAATCTAATTCATTAATTTCGCCTAAGAAGATTTTACAATGGCATCTAACATATTAGGATACTTTATATGTATACATGTAACTTAGAATATTTCGGAGTTGAGAATTCTATGTTTTGCATTATCTCTTGATTTTTTTTTTATCAGTTATCAACTCTGTTAGACTTCGGGGACCAGAAAGTTCTATTGGCAAAGGTCGTGTAGAGGTATTTTACAATGGAGAATGGGGAACAATTTGTGATGATGGCTGGGATATAAACGATGCTAAAGTTGTGTGTCGACAACTTGGTTATGACTATTATTTCAGGGCTTTACTAGGAGGTAATGTTCCACGTGGCAGTGGAAGAATATGGTTAGACGACGTTCAATGTGTAGGAAATGAAAGTAATATTTCGAGTTGTTCACATAGAGAATGGGGATTGCATAATTGTAGACATTATCAAGATGCTGGTGTACAATGTTCAGGTTTGTATGTACATTATTTAAATTTTATACAAAGATGATAAACTGAATTATTTGAGGGATCTTCAATGATTAATTGAAACATTTAATATGATTTTATAATACTGAAATAGATATTGACAAATGCCTTAAGTATAAACACAGCTTCGGACGTAAATTAACCAAATAAACACAACTCGTTCCACGAGTACATAATTAAACATAACCAATTTTATGATTGCCCAGAGAAAGATTCGACAATACCAGAGAAATTGGGCAGTCCATTGGCCAACTTTTCCTTGGAGGAATATGATAATCCTTAAATTATCAGTTTTGTTACGATTGTTTACATTCATTATAGCTATTTAAAGCTGTATGCTGTAGCTTATGATGCTCCATTAAAATTTTTTTGCACATTAATAAGGAGCATCTCCAAATTTATACTGCAGTGTAATTTTGTCTTGTAATGGCGTGCTGTCTATCTTAAGAATTCATTTTAAATTCGTTTTAACTGACCGTTAAGGTTTGGCTAAAGCCATACCTAGAGAGCACCAGAAACATATTTCTCAATAATTAAAAAGACAGTTATTTTAAAATGCGATAAAGATGCCCGCGTTTTCAACGAAGAGTATGAGTGAACTATTTACTCTTTATTTTTTGCTTGTATCAACAGGTTTTGGGGTAGTTTTGTCATATTGCAATAAAATGAAATGATTGAATGGGAAACCAATGAGGAAAGTTCGCAAGTTAACCGGTTAAGAACTTATGCACAGGGGTTAAACTAGCACCTTTTTAATGTGGGTGGGGGGGAATAAAATTGCCCTGCAAGGACACAAGATGCCTTGCAGATCATATAGATTAGTACTTATTCAACAATAAAATATTGTGATGATTGAACACATTTTCGCTATATATTTTTGTAATACATATTGTATTCTTGTGACAGAACGCACTTTAGCGTATTATTAAATCTTTGATGTCATTTTTTGCATCCTTGCAGTTGCCCAATTTTTAAAATAACATTTAAGTCAACATTGTCCGTAGGATCTTTTCACATGCAAGAACGATTAAGTCATTTAATCGCGTATCTATCTTTGTGCATCTCAAGCAGTTTTGACAATCATATACTTCCTGAAACACCTTTCATCTTTTGCAACGGACACTGGAGCGGTCAGCAATAGTTGATACGCCTTGCACACCATTGGAAAGACGTTTTTGTGATTGAAAGCAAATAACGCAACGTCTTGAAGGGATTTGGGTTCTGATTTAAGTTGTGACGACACAATATTATTGAAAACTTCCAACTCAGACAGCAGTATTTCTGCATCAACATCTTATACCGCCGGTGTAAAAGACTACACTTTTATGAACTGATTCAGCCATCGGCCTTTCTAGTGGCAGCTGTAAGCTCTCCAAAAGGTTTTATCTGGTCGATGCAAACTTTAATGATATTGGTATACTCGGTAATAAGTGAGTCTAGAACCAAGTACATTTCTTTTGGTACAAATGTTTAAAGGTTTTTCTGTTGTTATTTCGGAATGCTCAGCAATTCGTTTGGGTGACTTTCTTGATCAATGATGACGTGTGTATTCTGCCATTACGTCTATTCCTACTTTGGTAACGAATGCAACCATTGCCTCTATCTCTGAGTCTAATCCGTTATAGTCACTTCGAATTTGCCTAAGGTTTTTTACTGTAGCATCAATCAGGTTAAGTGCATATATTAGATTTAGCTCCTCCTCCTGCTGTTGTTTGATTAGGGATTGGTTTTGTCATTATGATTTGCATGAAAATAAGAGCAAAAAGAAAGTCAAAACTAAGAAATTTCTTTTCTATTCCATCACCTTTAGATTTTACTTTTGATTTTACTTCTCGAGCATTAATAACTTTCACAATAGCATTTGGTATGACCTCATAACTTCTCCAGACAGCATCAATGGACTCAGAATTGTAAACCCATCTTGTCTTTGACAAGTTTCAAAGCTTTAAATTGTTTTCAACATCTTTGCAACTTTCTTCTACAATTTTATTTCTTTTTGTGCTTTTGCTAAAGAGCACATATACGTAATCTAGAGCGCCGTACGTTGATGTACTTATTGAGCTATAATTGCAACAATGCTCGTTTAATGTATTAGACCGATGTCTCTGGCAAGGGATGTAAGGCACTTGTCGTTTTAAAATTTCTTGCAACACTTTTTGAGCACCATTTAGTTATCCAGACATTGATGTTGCGAAATCGTATGTTTGAAATGCAAGCATATCTACATCGATTTAATTTTCTATTAAAGATTTAATGACACCTTTAGCCGCTCCAGCATCGGCTTTATCAAGGGGTCTTTCATTTCAAGCCGTCTCTCGCATGGGATGCTCATATGGTTGACATATTTTACAGCGACGATAAGCATGTCTTGATTCAAAGTATTAGGTGTAGTGTCTGCAGACACAGAAAATACACCGGCTGACTTAATTCAGCACAAACTTCATCCCTCACAGATTGAGCCAGCAAATGATGCATCTCATTTTGTGCCTCTGACCTTGTATATGTTGTACTATATGGCCTTAGGCGCTGATCGTCCAGCCACAGCTTGAGAACAGGAGAATGTATTGGAAAAAGATTTACAATCTGAATGAATTTTCCGTCCTTGTCATTGCCGCCTCCTCCGGATGCCAACGACTGCTTGCCTGAGTGCGAGCCACATCAAGAAGAATCAACATAATTTCTTTGTTCTTTTCTTCATCTGCTTTCTCTTGCATCAATATTTCCTTCATTTTCGCATTCATCATTACATCAATATAACCAGTTGTTATTGAGAAACGAGCAAAATCAGCCAGAGTAGTTTGTTGGGACTTGCTACTGAAGTGTTTATGAAGTTTTCCTTCATAAACACTTCAGGAAGAAAGATTATATTTTGTTCTTTTTACTTTTCATTGCAAAAAATGACGTGCTTCATCTTTCTATTGCTACCAAGGAAAAATACTATGATTATGCCAATGGAGGAAACCTTTTGATTTAATCATGGTAAGACTTGGCAAACACAAGTGGTAATTAAAACCGGCCAAAATTTGCAAAATTTTTTTCCGTTCAGATCATGAATAGGGTTTTCCTATATTCCTTGGTATAGATTGAATGCAGGAAAGCGCTTTTCTAAGAGTTAAATTTCATGAAATTTTATAGGCTCTAAGGAAAGATCCTAGTGATGGGGAATCATGTCAAAGAAATACACTAAAAACTTAATTCTAATCGAAGATCGTAAAAAGTGTCGTGGAAAATTTGAAAGCTTATGTAGAAAATGCTGTGTGTTTGACATTTTATCCATTGTTGAAATGTATCTGTACACAAAACTACGTGTAAACAAATTGTAATCAACCATATTATCATATAAAGTAAATGTACATATTATCATAATCTATAAAAAAAAGTAAAATGATGAAGTTTAATTTCTGCTAAGAATAAAATATTATTGACAAATCAAATGATTTACTGAATTACATTATCTTTGACAATTGACAAATCAAGCCGTAAGATTTTCTTTTGAAGTTACATAAAGTTATTGCGTGGATTCCGCAAGACAATGCTGGCAATTGCTACCTACCATGCCACTTGTACTGCCCACCAACCAGAGATGACCGCGATTGCATGAAAATAAAATTAATAAAATCAGTTTATGATGTGTTTCCAAAGGAGAGGCAAACCTCGACTAGCTTTGTAATTAAAAGAAATCTTAAAATCAATCTATTGTAAATCTTCACATTTAGTTTTTCCGTTGGGACTTGCTAATCCTGTAGATTGATTTACCAATAAATTGATGCATTGTAGGAATCAGAAATGTTTGGAATATGATATCGAAATAAAAATTAAGAATCATTTTGTCTCACTCAAAATGGATGACGATTTTAGAAAATGACGTCAGATATTGCATTCATGAATTATTATGTTTCCAATCATTTATGATTTATCAAACATCAAGCACAACATAGAGTACCATTTCTTCAATTGCAATGTTTATGATTGTACAATGAATGCAAATTATAAATTATTAGTAAAAACATTTCATTTTTTTTGAACTTTTTCTTAGTACAGACTACAGCTAAAACAAAGTGTTTATCTTTCTCATGACATATATCAGTGAAGAATCATAACCAGATGAGTACGGTATCTCTCAGAAAGTTTTGGTAATTCAGAAAATATTCTGTTATGTAATGTTAAAGTATCGTTAACTTGACATCATTTCATATTATAAAATAAACACAACGAAGCACGTGCGCTGATGGGTTTAGACCTGTGTTTGCATGAGTTTGCGAAAACGATCTAAGCTTAACCAATCAAATCAATCAATCAATCAAACAGAATTTGCAAATTAATCATGACTACACGTTAAAAGAATATTATAATGGTTTTTTGTTTCGCATTATTGTTATTTTTTAAAAAAAATAACATGTTTTTCGTGTTTGCACTGGCTTTTGCAAGTGTGTCTGGGGTAAAAACTCTTGAGCATGTGCAATCCTCGACATTCGGTCTCGGGCTTACATTGATCTGCTCTTGAGTTCTCCCAAAGGTCTCCTCGGACTGCATAAGCCTGTGCAAACACATGCAGTAAACATCTTTTATTTATTAATTTGTGTATGAATTACTTCATTTGTAAATAACATCCTTGCTTTATTAGAGTAAATATTTACGAAATGCTAAAACGTCAATGATTTTCACAGAATCTGTTTACAATAGACTACATTTACTATCCTAGATCAAAACATGAGACATTTTCATTTCATTATGCCTAAGTAAAGAGTTTAACGACTTTTTACCCATTTTTAAGAAAGAACACTTATAATTTAATCAAACCTTTGTAATCTTCGTCGTTAGGTCCTTACACCTCGACAACATAACGACATAGCGACATGATTGCAGATGGTGTTATAACATTTAACTAAAATACATGGAGTGCTACTTGTAATACAAAACCTTAATAATTTTTTGAAGCCGTAATTTTACCCCAGAAACGCGAGATTTTACACCAGACACGCTTGTGAAGTCAATTATTACTCCTTGCGAGAGTCTTAAAACAACAAGCACGCGTGTCTGGGGTAAAATCTCGCCTATCAGGTGTAAGATTTGGGCTTTTCGCTTTAATTATTAGCTTTAGATAGCGCACCATGTATTTTAGTTCTATGTGTTATAACGACTACCATTGGTAACCTGGCAAACATGTCGCTGAGTAGTAACAACCTAGCGTCAACGACGGTGTGTTAAACACATAGCTACCTAACTTCCTGGAAGTGGTATCTTGCCTATATTGAGTTAGATGGTATATGCCTGAGCACAGGCTAAAAATCAGTCAAATAAAACAAAGTGCAAAATTTGTTTCGCCGTAATATTTTGATGAACGTACTAAAACTACATTAATTTACATGATAAGTTGCGTCGATTTGTAATAACTCTTTTTCTATCTTTTTTTTCTCTCTTACATTGAGGAAGAGCACTTACAAGTATGTTTGCTTTTTGTGAGGTTTTGTTGATGATAAAAATTTCGTACAAGTTTAAAATGGGATCTTAGAAATTTTCAAAAACAATAAATAAATGTTTTGTAATCAAATATTCTCTACCTCATTTTTCAAAATACCATACCCTAATATTTAAGTTACCTGAGATAAAAGCATTAAAATGTCAAATATTTCAACGTGACACGTAGGATATGCAAAGAAGAGAATTTTTATTGTGTGTAATTTACTCTGAAATACATCACAGAAAATTTTTTGTTTTTGTTTTATGTCTTATGAAATCAAATCATTTTGATCTTTTTGCAACAAGTACCGAGACATGTATTATTTGAAAACATTGAAGCATCATTACCACCTGGATCTACATTTTGATATGTCTTAACATTAAGAAAAGATTTCTTCAAGTTAATGCCTTCTCAACCTCTATTGAATACTTATCATCAAGATTAACTTGGAAAAGAACAGGAAAATAATCAAGTGAATGTAATGTATTAAAATCAGATTCGTCTAATTTTTGAGCTGATTTGTGAAGGTCTTATCGGATTATTTCGTAATTTTGTATTGTGTCAATGTTTTCATTTCATAGCAGTTTGTTTTGGCCTTTTGAGTTCTAGCCCAGATTTAGTTGTGAAATGGGACAATTAACAACCGTGGTTTATGTAGCTAAATATTCTTTTGTTCGAATATATGATGTCAAGAAATGCTTATTGAATTTCTTGCTGAAATTGCAACCAAAGGAAAACTAAAATTTATCAAAAGTGATAATTTAGGAGAATTTGCAGGATATGAGTTCAAATTTCTTTTAAGTAATAGTCTAATCATGCAAGAGACATTGTTTATTGAGAGTTATTCGCCTTACCAAAATGGGAAAGAGAGACTGGTCAAATTTATTCAATATGGCCAGATGGTTACCAGTAGAATTAAAATTACCAAAGTTGTTGTCAACTTGTGCAGTAATGGCATCTGCATATATTGCAAACAGGTGTAGCAATAATAGAATTGAAATAATTGCAAGTGAGGCTCTAACGAGATTTAAGTCTATTCTTACTAAAATGCATGGTTCGTTTCAATGTGTTTTTGCTAACACATACAGAATCCCAGAAAGCTCGAGCCAAGAGGTAAAAGAGGCATTTTTGCGGAATGTGATAAGAGGAGTCCAGCTTACCTAGTATATCACTATGAAACCACGAAAATAGAGCGAGTAAGGTAAAATTTTTGATGGAGTCGATAAATTTGTCATTGACAAAATTAAAACGGATAATGAGTTATGTCCATCATTTTGTACTATAAACCTGTTGCAATTCAGAGCAAGAAACTAAAAAATTGGAGGGAAAAATTTACGATCAAGTTGTGAACACAGGAAGGTACCCATCTAAAGTCGAAAATAAGCCAGCCATCATAGCATAACTGCTATTACCAGTAAGCGTGCAGTTGATTAACGTTATAGATTAAATAACTTAGCAAATTCTCATTTAGAGGCGGATCAACAGAGTTAGTCTTGGTGATTACCATAAGTTATCAATATTTACAAAGAGTTATCATCTTTCGAATAAGATAAGGTCCAAGCTTTTGTAGTGCAAATCAATATATTTGTAAAACATCTATATTTTCTATTGCGATCTAGCGGAAGTATCTTTCTGGAAGGCGTGTCTTCTTAGAAATTGCTTCAGAAAAGTGAGGGACACGAACATTAAAGGTTCCGACACGAGTGGATCTTCTGTCAAGATATCTATACTATCTATCGGCATATATTAGTTGACAGGGTTTGACAGGGATGTTTATTTTGAGCAAGTTAAGGGTTATTTAAATTATAGGATTAAGAACGGAGAAAAGTTTGTTCACAAATTAAATACCTTGTAAGCCCCTGTGTGGTCTCAAACAAAGCGGCTGAAACTGGAATGAAACATTAAATAATTACTTGACCGTGGAAAGGTTTAGGCAATCACTCCCAGACCCTTACGTATACTTTATGTTTGTAGATGGAGCCTTGTTGAAATATTTAAATGGTTTTACTTTCTATTTGTGAAGCAGAGTGCAAATTTTTATAACAATTATGTTGCAATTTAGGCATAGTGGAAGGAAACACAAGCTCAAAAATCAATGCAAATAACAAGGGACCGATAAAATTAGCAATTTAAAGGACGCAACTTTTCACAAAAAGGTCTAAACACACATGGAAATCAAATATCATTTTAATAGAAGCAAAATACAACGCGGCTTAATGAGCTTAAGTTACTCTGCAAGCAAAGGCAACTTACCAAATATTTCACAAGAAGATAACGAGTAAACATTTACATTGGGTAGTGTTAGAAATGGTTTTCAAATATCAAAAGAAGGATCTCTGATATCCTCAAAGAATAGGAAAAAGCAAATGGTTTTACTTTCTGCATGTAAAACAGAGTGTACAACTTTAGCTTGGGTGCAGTGATTTAAGCATAGTGGAAAAGAACAGTGGCGCGAAAATCAAAGCACACAACCAGGAGCATTAATATCAGGAAGAACCAAGCTTTTCAAAAAAACAACGTTTAAACACATAGAAATTAAAAATCATTTTATTAGAAGCAAAGTGCAGGTAGCGCGGAACAATGAACTTAATTAATTGCCAACGAAGATAACTTAGTAAATACATTTACAATAACAAAAAGTAAAGTTAAAATAGATCATTTTCAACATTTTCTATGTAGCCAAAATGACACTGCCGTATGTATAAGTGTAATGTAAGTGTTTGCCAAGCCACGTCTTTATAATGAAATAAGGAAAGTGTAGTAATTTGTGTAATAATGTCACCCTATCATTGTGAACTTAATCTCATGATAGATTATTATCAACCAACCATGTAGCGTCCTTTATATGTAAATTACGTGTATCAGCATGTGCTTATTTGTAATTTTTGTAGATTCTTGCAATGTAGAAGTTTTCATTGAATGTTATAAATAATTTTGTCAGCAGCAACGCGAGTCACAATCACTGTCACAAAATAAATTCACTAGCACAGTGTGAAAGAATGGATATTTAC